GGCTGACGACCCCATGAGCCCTACTTCGGCTGACGACCCCATGAGCCTCACTTTGGCTGACGACCCCATGAGCCTCACTTTGGCTGATGACCCCATGAGCCCCACTTCGGCTGACGACCCCATGAGCCCCACTTTGGCTGCAGACCCCATGAGCCCCACGTCGGCTGCAAAACCCACGACTAAGCTGGCTGCAGACCCCATGAGCCCCATGTCAGCTGCAGACCCTACGATCAAGCTGGCTGCAGATCCCATGAGCTCCACGTCAGCTGCAGACCCCATGAACAAGATGGCTGCAGACTCCACAACATAGTTGGCTGCAGACCCCATGATTTTCATGCCAGCCATTGTCCCCATGGTCCCTTTACCTGCAGCTGATTCCTTGGCCCCATCTGTAGCTGAGGACCCCTCATCTCCTGTGTCACCAGCACCCTCTGCCTCTGGTGGTGCCTGTTCAGTCTGACAAGGCTGAACCTTCTAAGGGCCCACACCAGCCAACAAAGCAGCAGAGACTCATTGAGGCCAAACCTCCTAAGGACCCACCTCTGCCAATGAAGAGGTAGAGACTTGAAGACATCCCATCTCCACGCCTCACAGTAGGTGTTGGGGACGACAGCCCATCTCCACGCCTCACAGTAGGTGTCGGGGACGACAGCCCATCTCCACACCTCACAGTGGGTGTCGGGGACAGGAGCCCACCTCCACGTTCTCAGCCTCCTGAGGACCCAAAGCATCCTGAGGGTCCCACAACTCCCAAAGAGGTTACGTCCCCTGTGATCTCGATGCCTGGTGCAGACCCCTAGGCCTCCACAACTGCTGCAGAGTCCTAGAACCCCATGCCTGTACAGATTGGACCCCATCGCCTGCTACAGATCGGACCCCTTCACCATGTACTGGATGGTTGTTTGGTCGTCCACCAGAGACGTTGCAACATGCCAGAAGGCCTCCTGGACGCTCACCTGAGCCCTGGAACAGCCCTGGATGGCCCTTCTGACTGCTTGTGATAAGAACCAGGTTTAGGGATTTGAACCAGATCACATACACCACGGAAGGTTTAAAAGTTTTATTAATGAGCTGCTTCTGGTGGAGGTCTGAGTCCTTGGTCGGGCACAATCTGAAGAGACAGGACGGTTAGTGAACAGGTGTTCAGTGGCTGTGATCTGACAGTTCTGTTGACAGGCAGCAACCCTCACTGGCAGCTGAGGGAGGGGTTCCTTGGAGGAGTTGGTTTGTGTGATGTCACCATTGGTGAAGGCAAGCTGGCTTTGGAGCAGAGCAGAGCGATGAACAATTGGAGGGGAGATCCGAAGGCAGGTCCAGAGAAACAGGTGAAGGTTGTACACGAGTGATCAGAGATCAGTAGCAAAACTTGAGATGTAATCCAGAAAATATGGTTGTAATAGAAGAAGCAGAAGTTGTTACTGTGAACAGAGCAGATAATCCAAAACAGACAGGGGATGAGCAAGGTGAGTAATCCGTGAGGCATGCAGGCACGAGATCAGAACCAGGAAGACAAACGAGACTGTCGCATGAAAGCTAGAAATTTACTCACACAAAGGCTTTCAATAATCTGGCACTGAATAGTGTGACTGTGGGGTTTAAGTACAGGGGAAAACAGGTGAGCTGCATGAGGACTGATTGTGGTGACTCAGCTGGGTGGGCATGGTTACATGAGCAGACTGAGATGCAGGTTGACAGGAGCTGAGAGGAAAAATAAACATGAACAGGAACTATGGCAGGCAGGGCAGAAAACATGACAGCCAGCATGTATTTTTTTGTTATTCAGCCATCTAATTCTTGTTCATACCTTGTTCTTTGGATTTCAACCTCACACCTCGTCTGGATTTACCATTTTGCCTGCTACTCATCTGCTCTGTTTTGCCCATTTGACCCTGGTGACAACTAATTCTGGATTATGGTTTGACCAATTTGATTTATTATTGGAACTCTGACTCCCTGTACTTGACCCCTACTTTGCCCTTTGGACCACAACCCTGCATTGCCCCGCTGTCCACAGTTTTAAAGGCTTCCCTCTACAGCTGCCTGCCCTATCTTATCTACCCATCTTAAGTTTCAATGAAAAGAAGTCTGAAGTCATGTTGTTCCCTCCCAACGGCACGATCACAAACCACTGCATTGACCTCTCCACTCTATCCCTGTCAAAAAAACAAAGAGTCACAAATCTGGGAGTGATAATGGACCCTTCCCTGAAACTTAACAATCATGTAAACATGATTGTTAAATCATGTTTCTTCCAACTGAGGCGGCTGTTTAAACTGAAGCCCATATTGTCCAAAAAGAAACTGGAGACAGTAATACATGCATTCATTACATCTAGGCTTGATTACTGCAATTCGCTCCTGTTTGGTATCAGTCAGACCTCCATTGCACGACTACAACTGGTCCAGAATGCAGCAGCCCGACTTTTAACCAGTACAGGCAAAAGAGAGCACGTTACACCAGTTTTGGCCTCACTGCACTGGTTACCGGTTCACTTTCAAATCCAGTTCAAAATACTCCTGTATGTCTACAAATCGCTGAACAGTTTCCACCTCCCCATCTCTCTGATTTGCTACAACCGTATGTCCCTCCACATTCCCTGAGGTCAGCGGACCAATTGCTCCTCACAGTTCCAGGAACTCGTCTTAAGCGCAGAGGTGACAGGGCCTTCTCTGTAGCAACTCAGTCTTGGAACGAGTTGCCTCTGCTTGTCAGACAGGCCCCCTCTCTCTCGGTTTTCAAATACCGTTTAAAAACTCACTACTATTCAGTAGGTTTTAACACCAGAGGGTCTGTGTTTTGAACCTGTACGCTCCACACTGGTTTGTCATATTTATTATCTGCATCGTTTTTATGTCTATATTCTGATTTACTTCATTTTGTATATTGCTTTGTGTGTTGTCTGTTGTTCTGTCTGTACAGCACTTTGGTTGGCCTTGTCGCTGTTTTAAGTGCTCTATAAATAAAATGGTATGGTACCCACCAGTTGTGGCGACGTCGTCACTTCAAGCTCTGACAGGTGGCTCTCACCCCACCTGTCTGTAAAGACGTGTTCCCACTGCTGGACCCTGACTCCCCACCAAGCAGTCAAATTAATAAAACTGTTGTCTTTGGTTTCACACTCTGTGTCTGGCTGTTTCTGAATCCAAAACCTGAATCTTGACAATCTTCTTTAATAAAAAAAAATCTTAATTAGAATAATGCAGATTAGGGATGCACAATATTATCGGCATGGTATCGATATTGGCCGATATTATAATTAAAATTCAATATCGGACATTGGCCATTGCATTAAAATAACTTGCCGAAATAAAAGGTGCCATTTTTACCTGCAGCGGCAACACAATGTGACAACATTACAGCGGCAGCGCAACGCGATGACGTCACGTGCGCCTACCCGATCTCACGGCGGAGAGAAAAATTCAAAATGTTGGCGGTATGGAAGTTTTATTTTTCCTTGGTGAGGATGTCGGCTTCCGAAGATTTATGGA